CCCCCATAATCTTATGCATAACTTCACAGTCACATTTCTAGAAGTATTTCTTGGCACTGCCATAAGTCTGATATCCACTGTATAAAGATCTAAAGCAGTCAGTACAGGTTCAAGTGTCTCCTTCAAGGGAGCATCCCTCCACAAGTTTTAGTTACAGGTTCTCTGACTAAGCTCTACCATTTCAGCCACTTCCCTAGCTCGTTCTTTAGTTTGCTTTGCTGTATTTTTGAGACTTTTCCAAAGTTTCAAATATTTAGGATGCACCAAAACTCTCTGAAGAAATCAAGAGTCTTTTTCCATCAGGATGCCCAAGAGCAGGCATCAGAGAAGAAAGGCAGTACACAGTTGGCATTTGTGGTGGGAAAATAAGAAGAGAGGGAATGCTGGTGATACTGTTGCAGAGCTCACCACAGCTGGAAGATGCCCAGCACCAGCTTTCTGTCCTGTCTCTTCAGCTGTGGGAACAGGGTCTGGACATTCTCACTCTGTGAGCCACGATGCAAGATACCAGAGAGGAGAGGCAGATATACAGAGAGAGTTTGAGGTGGGAAAGCGATGAGAGAGACCAATGCTGTTGGCACCGTTGTGGAGATCACCATATGTAGAAGATACCCAGTACCAGCTTTCTGTCCTGGCTCTTTGGCTGTGGGAACAGGGTCTAGACATTCGCACTTTGTGAGCTATGCTCCTGGAGGACCAAGAGCGGCACCAGAGAGAAGAGGCAGTATGCAAATGGAGTTTGAGGTGGGAAAGCGAGGAGAGAAAGCAATGCTGGTGGCACTGTTGTGGAGCTGACTATGTCTAGAAGATGCCCAGCACGAACTTTCTATCCTGGCTCTTCAGCTGTGGAAGCAGGGTACGGATGTTATCACTCTGTGAGCTGTGCTCCAGGATGCCCGAGAGCAGGAATCAGAGAGGAGAGGAAGGTATTCAGATAGAGTTTGAGGTGGGAAAGTGAGGCAAAAGGCCAGCGATGTTGGCACTGTTGTGGAGCTCACAGTGTGTAGAAGACACTCAGCACCAGCTTTCTGTCCTGGCTCTTTGGCTGTGGGAGCAGGGTCCAGGCATTTGCACTCTGTGAGCTGTGCTCCAGGATGCCCGAGAGAGAGCACCAGAGAGGAGAAGCAGGTATGCAGATGGTGATTGAGGTTAAAAGCGAGAAGAGAGAGCAATGCTGATGGCACCGTTGTGGAGCTCACAGCATCTGGAAGATGCCCAGCACCAGCTTTCTGTCCTGTCTCTTCAGCTGTGGGAGCAGGGTCGGATGATCAAGCTCTGTGAGCTGTGCTCCAAGATGCATGAGAATGGGCACCAGAGAGGAGAGGTGGGTACACAGGTAGAATATGAGGTGGGAAAGCAAGGAGAGAGAGCAATGCTGTCATTGCTGTTGCAGAGCTCACCATGTGTGGAAGATGCCCAACATGATCTTTCTGTCCTGGCTGTGGGAGCAGGGTCTGGACATTCGCACTCTGTGAGCTGTGCTCCAGGACGCCCGAGAGCAGGTACTGAGCATTATATCTTCTCATTCTCAAGAGGGCTTTGTTGTGCTTTTCTTGTCATAATTTTGGGATTTTGTGACTGCACATCACAATTTGGGATTTTTGTTATAGAGAATGGCAAAACTTTTGCCACTTGGGTGTTAATTTCATAGGTACAGGCTGTTGTAAAACTTCATCTATTTAATCACTGAGGAAAAAATTAAGCCTCACTTTGTTTTTTTCTTCTCTTAGAAAACAAACTTACAGGGCCTGAACCTCATATGTGTGAATGTCATTGCATTTTTCTTTTTTCCTGCTTTTCTGATGCTTCAGGATCCTAATGTAGGAAAGCAGAAGTGACTGTAAATTGTGTCAGCAACCAATAACTGAATTATCAGTCATAGCAGATAGCAACAGGCATGGCAGATAGATGTGGCCTTTACTTCAAAGACTCGCAGCATAGTGAAGCCTGTTTCAAAATTCCCATTCCTTCTGAAAGGGCATCAGGTTTTGTCACCCTCTAGGAAAATTATCTTCTCTTTCAAGTATCCTGAAACAGGAAGCTTCAAAGTGAGACTAGAATTGTGAGAAGTTGGTAAACTCCAGATAACATCTGGATCTCATTTACATAAGAAATAAAATATTGTGGAAGAACAAGTTGAGAACATAACCTGTCACATATCCAGAGACTGAAATTCTTGCAGGGAATAAAGCAAACACCGTATTTTGACCTAGCTCACTTTATCCCTCTCCGGTGGCAATTTACTCTGATGCTGCATTCAGATTTTGTGAGAAAACATGTTCCTCTGCAAGTTTCATGTTTCCAAGTGGTTCCAGAGAGTTGTTTCAGTGTCTGTAGAAATAATTATGGGTTTTGACCTCAACCATGGCAGGCATAAAATGTTCTGCAGTCCAGGAGGCTCAGCACCTTGTAGGATAAGGGTCTTTACTGATATGCCTTTGTATCTTGGCATAACTTCTTACTAAATGTGACCATCCAGTGGTACATTGGATGTCATAGTTGTCAGCCACTCAATGTGCTCTGACCACAGTGACTAAATATTCTTTAGTTGAAAATGCCTGCTTTAAAACCATGTGGTTACTAACGCTTCAACCAAAGGATTATTTCTCTAACATTTAGGGTGAGAGCTCCCTGCTATTTCATTGTTACAGTCCATCTTCTTTTGCTCGTGAGCTGTCTAGAATATACCATATGGCCAAAAAAAAAAAAAAAATAAAAAAAATCATAGACCAGCTTTTGTCCTTTGAGAAGGCTACATTTTACCATTTCACTGTCATAGCTAGTAATTAAATTTACTACATGTAATCAAAGCAATTTAATTGTACTTGAACAAATAAAGGAAGTACCATCATCATGTTCTCCTTCTTGAATTTACAATTTCAAAATTAAAGCAACATTTTTCTAACAAAAAGATTAAATTTAATTAATTAAAATTGTTCCATAAGCTAAGAATATTTAATTACCTCCTTAGATCTTCCTGTCTTACAATAAAGTCTTCTAAAAAGTTAAGATTCGTAAAAAGTCAAATGGCTGTGCTGTTAGTTGGTAACTAAGGTTTACATTCCCTCTGTGCACTATTATCTTCATGTCATTTAGAGCATCTTCTAGTATAAGTAATGTGGATCACAGAGCTTTCTGGACTTGATTTGCTTTAATAACAGCTTCTACTAAATACCACTGGAGCAATTAAAAGAGTCATGATGATCAATTCTCTGAACTGCTACTAAACCTGTATATTTCGAATTCACATGTAGAGCTCCACTGAACATTTTCTTAGAGCCATTCACTCTTCTCCTCTGCAGAGTGCACACACCGGCTGCTTGAGGCAAACTTTGCTTATTTTGAAGCTGCCTCTCTTCCCAAATCAATGTTTATACTTGCAATTACCCCATTTTTTTATCAGCCATTCAGAGATTGGGCTTTATTTGGAGAAATAATTGCCTCACATTAGATGCTGCCTATTCTCTGACAGCATGTTTCTGTGTTGCCCCTCTAGATGGCATTTCTGAAAACAATTCCAGAAGAAAATGTGCAAGATATATCTGTATTCTCCAGTAGCCTTAAACAATAGATGCCTCTGCATGATTCACAAGGGTGTGCACCTCTGAGTAGACCTAAGCTATGAATGCTTTTTTTTTCCCCAAGACATTAGAAGAAAATAATGCTTATGCAGAATTAGATGCTTTTTAGCAAAGAATTTCTTATAGTGCTTCCTAGTGGTTGTTTTCTTTCATGTTTACAGGAAAGTTACAATCAGAAGACATTCATGAATGAATCCTCAGTTGACAAACTGCAAGTCTCAGTGTAATGTACCTGAAGATTTGACTGTGTAGGTTAAAGTAAAACATCCTCTTAGATACAGAAGGATGAGCTGTTCAAACCCAAAGGAAATGAAGCAAAGAAATGAAAGCTTTTTCATGATGTGGAACTATAGAGAGATGCTCCAGCTCTTACTGTAGCCTGTAAGCTACAGAAGATGAGGAGTCCTACTAATCCTCTCTGTGCTGTTATGTACAAAATACAAGAAGTCAGCTCTCTATGGATTATGATCACATCTCTTTTATAGTCTACTAAGTGCTAAGCAGTAACTTTCTACTCTTTTACTCCCTTATCATCCCAATTTAGCAATACTAAGGGTTATAAATAGTCACACTGTTTGGTCTGTCTTTGAGATGCACATCCTGCTTTATCTTGCAAACCGCCTGCTTTGTTTTGCTAACTGATCTTTACCCTTCATAGCTCTCTTTACAGTTCCCAAGGCTTAGTCCGGAGCAGGGTATTGACACCTGGTGTTTTCTTTACAGTTCCTAAGGCTTAACCCGGACTAGTGCGATAACACCTGGATCCATTTTGTTAACTATTTCCATCCATCACTCACATTTCCCCCTTTTTGTTTTACTAAAAGCTTTTTACAGTTTGGCGTGTCAGCTCTATCACTGCTTGACTTGTGTAACATAACCACCCACTACTCTGGGCAGCATTATTTCAGTAAGATTAGTCTGATTTGAAGTTGCTTGAACCTTTATAACATGTGGCATATGAGTGAATCCTACACACCATGTAACAGGTCTGAACAGGATTTTAACAAATGTGCCCAGTAGACTTGTCCATTACTCATGGTCACACATGATAGAACAGATATTACAAAGATTTCTGTCATTGCCACTTCTTTATGTTGTTGAGTTCTAGGGCTTTATACATTTCACTGGCAGCCAGTATGGTCCTGTCGATAGCTGTACACAGCCATATCCTTGACCCAATGTCAGCATTGGCACTGGTCATTTCCACTCATTATCATGTAGGTCTTTATATAGAGCTGGTGGTTTGGGCAAGGAATTGTCCATCAGATGTCACAATCGCTGTATTGCAGAAAGAGAATCAAAACTACACAAATTTAAAGAATTTAGTACAAACTGTGCTTTTGCTAACTCTTCATGTGGAGAAAATCCTTGCATTCTTCTTTCTTTTCTTTTTTTTTTTATATATATATATCTACTATCAATACCTGCTTTAGATGACCCTACTTGAGCAGGGGATTTGGACTAGATCATATCTCCTGCATATGCCAATCACAGGCTGCTTGGTCCTGCCCTTCTCTCCTGGATGGCTCTCTGATAACAGGGGAGGCCATCCCTCACATCAAGGTCAGTCATGGCATGTGTCCCCACTGCTCCACGCCTGCTGGGTTGCAGCCAACATCAGAGCTAAAGGTTCTTCTTCGTGGTGTGAGGTATATAGGAATGATTCGTGTCAGAAACTTAGGAGTCCTTGTTATCATTGCACTTTGGGAGGAATCGAAAATCATGTGTAGAATGTATACGAATGATCAGATTAAGATGGGAGTTCCTGTAAATACAATGATGAAAAGAAAAGAAGGAACAAAGGAATAATCCTTCCTAATCAAAGTATTTGTTACTTTAAGGGGTACTTTGTTTAAATACTTGAATGTCTCAAATGCTTTGCTAACTACAGAGGGTGTTTTGTTTAACTGTTTGAATACCTTAAGGGGGTTAGGTAATCAAGGGATACATTCTGTTAGGGGATGAGGTGAAACTTGTGTATTCAATATGTAACTATATAAGAAATGGAATTGAGGGGGCTAAGATAGTGGTTAAGCTTGTGACAGACATTCCCTGTTAATGTATTGCCAAGGAATTCAATGACTTTTTAAGAAGTTTCATCACCCAAAGATAAGATCCCAGCAACAGGAGGAGAACAATGAAAAAGAATCACGTCGGTATTTGGGTGAAGGAGACGACAGGATTGGCTGAAACCCAAGACCGAGGAGTATAAGAGACTGTACCCCAGAAATCTCGGTGTGCGTCTTGGGTGGAGCGGAGACTCCCCGGCGCACCCAGCGCTGCTTGCTTATTGCCTCTCGATATTAATCAATTGTAATAAAAAATTAATTAAATCAGATCATGGCCAAGACGGAATTTTTATAACAAAATTGGTGACCCCGACGTGATCTCTGTGTGGCTGCCTGGGACTATAGCTTTTACGAGGAGGCGCCCCACAATTTGTGGCTCGGGAGTTGTAGTCCCGGGTAGTCCCACGAGATCAACGAACAGAGAGGCAATAACCAAGGAATTCGAGCTCCCGTAAAAACTGCAGTATAAGGTACCCGTAATTCTTGTGCACGAAGACCCGGACGAGAACAATGGACTGTGAGTATCGTTCGGTTGGGTGGGAGGGCCGGTGTGTGAGTGTGACTGTGATGTTTTCCTCTAACCGCGGTTCCAATCTCCCCTGAGGGAATTGGCCGGTGCAGAGAAGGAGTGCTTGGTGATTTGTGTTTGTGCACCATTGAGACACGGACTGGGTATCCTGGACCTGTGGAAATACGGGCCAGGGCATCGGGATCTGTGAAGCAAGTGTGGACCTCTTCTAAGCGCGTTTCCAATCTCCCGCGAGGGACTTGGCCGCTGAAGGAGGGAAGTGATAGTGATTGATTGAGAGGAGACACACCCGGCGGGAAACGGGTCAGAGTAGGAGTCGTAACTCTAACCCAGGGAGGGGCCCACGGAGAGGTCCCAGGAATAAGACAGGGAGCGAATTACCAGATATACCCCCAGACAGTCCCTTGGGGTTAACACTTAAGTACTGGGGCTTTTAGCCGTCCCAGGAGGGAAAGAGTAAAAAAAAAATAAAAAATGGTCCATTACTGTATGGAAGTGTGGATCAAAGAGGAAATATGACCTGACTATATTGGCTAATATTCGGGACCCAGTATTATTTAATATATTCATCAATGATAACTGAGTGTACTATCAGCAAGTTTGCTGATGACACTAAGCTGGGAGGGTGGCCGACACGCCAGAAGGCTGTGCTGCCATTCAGCGAGACCTGGACAGGCTGGAGAGTTGGGCGGGGAATAACTTGATGAAATATAACAAGGGAAAGTGTAGAGTCCTGCATTTGGGCAGGACCAACCCCAGGTTCCAGTATAGGTTGGGGAACGACCTGTTAGAGAGCAATGTAGGGGAGAGGGACCTGGGGGTCCTAGCGGACGACAGGGTGACCATGAGCTGACACTGTGCCCTTGTGGCCATGAAGGCCAATGGCATCCTGGGGTGTATTAGAAGGGGGGTGGTTAGTAGGTCGAGAGAGGTCCTCCTTCCCCTCTACTCTGCCTTGGTGAGACCGCATCTGGAATATTGTGTCCAGTTCTGGGCCCCTCAGTTTAAAAAGGACAGGGACCTGCTGGAGAGAGTCCAGCGCAGGGCAACTAAGATGATTAAGGAAGTGGAGCATCTCCCTTATGAGGAAAGACTGAGGGACCTGGGTCTCTATAGTTTGGAGAAGAGGAGATTGAGGGGTGACCTTATTAGTGTATATAAATATATAAAGGGGGAGTGTCACGAGGATGGAGCCAGGCTCTTCTCAGTGGCAAACAATGATAGGACAAGGGGCAATGGGTACAAACTGGAACACAAGAGGTTCCACTTAAACTTGAGAAGAAACTTCTTCTCAGTGAGGGTTACAGAACACTGGAACAGGCTGCCCAGGGAGGTTGTGGAGTCTCCTTCTCTGGAGACATTCAAAACCCGCCTGGACACGTTCCTGTGTAACCTTATCTAGGTGTTCCTGCTCCGGGAGTGGGATTGACTAGATGATCTTTTGAGGTCCCTTCCAATCTCTAACATACTGTGATACTGTGATTTTGATGATTGGATTTGTCAGGCTTTAAATCTATATGTAAATGGTAAGGAACCTTTCAATCAAGAGGAGAGTGATTATGCTGCATTATGGAAAGAGTCATCTATAACAGTTTCGTTATTTCCCTTAAAAGAAAAGAAAGGGAAGATGAATAAACCAAATAAATCATCATGGGAGCCTTTAGATAATTTACCACACCCTTATCAAAGGCGGGACTCGAGAGGTGATCGGGAAGGCATTTACCCACCAATACCACCCCATCCTTCTCCATCGGCTCCCCCATCCTCCCCTCCCTTCAGTCCCACCAGGAGTAAAATAAAAATACAGGATAATTGCTATGTTTGGTGTTAATAAAGCCATTAAGATGTGTAAACATCTACTGGGGAGTATCCCGGACTAGCTTATGTCCAGGATGGAAGCAGTTAAACTAACTGGTAAGTAAAAGGGCAGGATGATTGCTATGTCTGTAACGTTAATTAAGCTTGTTGGGAAAGTAAACGACCCTTAAAGACCACCACATTGTTGTATGCATGCCCATGTCTCCCGGCAAAGAATACCTGCTTGTCAACTTAAAACTTTGTTGACCAGTTCCTGGAGTTTTCTCCGAATCAATTTGGCACCTCAGATGGGACCCTCTCTGCCTGGCTGCAGGACCCGCTGAGGACAGGGCTTCCCTAGGGCCCTCGGGAGTTCTTTTTTTTCCCGGAGGGACCCCTTAACTAATTCGGATCCCGGCAGGAGCAGACAAGGACCATCTCATAAAAGGTATTCTTTTCATTTATATAGTCTGTAAGATGCAGGGGGCATCTCTGTTTGGTAAACTGCTTTGGTAAGCGTACACAAAGCTTGGAAGCCTTCTGTAAATCGAGAGAAGAAATCTCGTGGGTAAACACGTATACCCAGCTGCTAGCGTCCCTTTGGTATACACCCACAAGAAGCAGGGGGCTTCTTGTGGTTTAGGTCCTGCAAGACGCAGTGGGCGTTTTCTAGAAAAAGTTTTGGATTTTTACTGGTATTTGGCTTATGTTGTGGCTTGTTATAGTTTTGACTTGGACTTGTGATTTTGGTATTGGTGACAAATAGTTATAACTGTGTTATTAATTGTTGTCTCTGTTTCAAGTGTTGTAACTGTGGAGTATGTCTGTGGGATCCTGTGTGTGTATGTGTGTGAATGCAAGATTAATAATGGGAAATTGGCAGAGTGGAGAGATCTTGAAAAAGAGTCCTTTAGGGTGCATTTTGGCACATTGGAAAGAACTGAGAGGGTTTCCTGGGGGCTCAGTAAACAAGAAAACATTGATAAAATATTGTAACCAATGGTGGCCTTTATATACTTTGGAAGATCAGGAGAAATGGCCTAAAAATTGAGGGGGCTAAGATAGTGGTTAAGCTTGTGACAGACATTCCCTGTTAATGTATTGCCAAGGAATTCAATGACTTTTTAAGAAGTTTCATCACCCGAAGATAAGATCCCAGCAACAGGAGGAGAACAATGAAAAAGAATCACGTCGGTATTTGGGTGAAGGAGACGACAGGATTGGCTGAAACCCAAGACCAAGGAGTATAAGAGACTGTACCCCAGAAATCTCGGTGTGCGTCTTGGGTGGAGCGGAGACTCCCTGGCGCACCCAGCGCTGCTTGCTTATTGCCTGTCGATATTAATCAATTGTAATAAAAAAATAATTAAATCAGATCATGGCCAAGACGGAATTTTTATAACAGTGGCAAACACAGAAGCCAACCCAGTCTTGCCCTTGACTGTGATAGCAGGCATATGGCCAATCTCAGCCCTTGCACCTTGTCAATGCAGAGTTTCACCTGTCACTACTATGGCAAAGTACACACAGATTTACATTAGCAGAGTAACTATTATAAGGTGCAACAGCATGTTGAAGATGCTGATGGCAGCGAGGCACTAGCCAAAAAAATTTCTTATCAGTGAAGTTCTCCCACTCTCTTAATTTGTTCCATTACCTGCTTTACAATACAAGGTGTAGTTTCTTATTATCAACTGGCTAGTAAATACAGGTGGCTTTATACACAAAATCACAGCCTCTAATAAAAGCTACTTTACAAGCACACATATTCAAGCTGTTACTTTTCAGTTGCCCCCAAGTGATGTTTTGCAATCATTCATTTTTCTCCTCTATCTCATTCTGCTTGGGGTTTTCATGGTCAGCTGCTCATTTGGCTTCAAAATCGACCAAATTATTTCCAATTACCTGATCAGAGTCACCTTGTTGATGTCCTTTACAGTACATAATAGCTTCTCCTACAGGTAGCTGAACAGCTTCCAGTCATTGTAGAATTTCTGTGGCGTGTTTAATCTGTTTCCCTTGTGTGTTCAAAAGTCCTTGTTCTTTCCAGATAGCACCATATGCATGGACCACACCAAATATTTGGAATCAGTCCAAATATTTATCCTTTTATCTTTAGCCAATTCCAGGGCTCTCGCTAACGCTATTATTTCTGCCTTCTGGGCAGAGGTGTTTGTGGGTAAAGGTTTAGCTTCTATTACTTGTGAAATAGTGGTAATGGCATATCCTGCCTTTTGTTCACCATTGTTCATGAAGCTACTACCGTCAGTAAACCAAGAATCGGTATCTTCCAGAGGTTTTTCTTTCAAGTCTGGTTGGCTCGAATATACAGTCTCTATGGTGGTCAAGCAGTCGTGTGCTAGTGGTTCTGTCAATCATTCCTGCAAAAAGGATGTTGGATTCACAACATTAGTGACCACAATTTCTATATCATCTTGTTTCACAAGGATGGCCTGGTATTATAAAAAACGTGAAGGAGATAACCAGCGGGCTCCTTTCTGCTCCAGGACTGCTGATACCACATGGGACACTAATACAGTAATCTTTTGTCCCAAGGTGAATTTGCAAGCCTCTTCAATATTCATGACAACTGCTGCCACAGCCCTTAGGCATCCGGGCCATCCTTTGCTCACTTCATCCAGCTGTTTTGAAAAATATGCCACTGCCCTTCTGTTGGGTTCTAGTTTCTGAGCAAGGACCCCCAAAGCTATTTCCTGTTTTTCATACGAATATAGCCAAAATGGTTTAGACACATGCAGAAGTCCCAAAGCTGGAGTTCTCATTAGCTCCATTTTTAATTTCTAAAAACCTCCTCTGCTGGCTCAGTCCAGTCCAGAGAGGGAGGGTTTCCCTTCAACAGTTCATACAGTGGTCTTACCAGAACACAGTCAGTCCAGTCCAGAGAGAGAGGGTTTCCCTTCATCAGTTCATACAATGGTCTTACTAGAACACCATAATTATGGATCCAAAGTCTGCACCATCCAATCATTCTCAGGAATGTCCGGAACTCCTTCACGGACGATGGTCGTGGAGTCTGGCAAATGGCTTCTTTTTTAGCAGTTCCATGGTCTCCCTGTCTTCCTGTTATTTCATATCCTGGGTAGGAAACTTGGGTTTGGATTAGTTGGGTCTTGTTTGGATAGCCAATAACCGTTCAGTCATAGAAAATTTAATAATTCCACTGTCCACTAGATACAATCTTCCTTTGTTTCTGTAGCAATTAACAGGTCATCCACATATTGCAACAGAGTCTCCGTCTGAGCAGGTGACTTTCATGATGCTAATTCTCGTGCTGATTTCCAAAAGTTTCTGGACGGTTTTTAAAGCCCTGTGGTAATACTGCCCAAGTTAATTGAGTTTTTCTTCCTGTGTCAGGATTTTCCCATTCAAAAGCAAATAAATGTTTGCTTTCTTTTGGCCAATGGTAAACAAAAGAAAGCATCTTTTAAATCCAGGATGGCAAACCATTTCTGATTATTATTCTATTTTTTCAATAAATCATACAAATTAGCTACTACTGGACAAATATCCTCTGTGATTTTGGTGATTGCTCTGAGATCTTGGCCTAATATGCAACTTTTCAGAAACCTGGACATACTTATATTTACCAACTTCAAGCACATGAGTATCACAGAGAGACTGTACCAAATGACTTGTATATGGGGTCCCAAGTCCACGGTCCATCACAGTCTGTCTGATACCCCTGATAAGAACATACGAGACACCTTCCCACCGCGGGTCTTGATCTAGCACATACACCACCAGGAAAGCACACAATACATCTGCACCCCCCAGTCGTCTCGGTTCTCCCTTTACAGCTGTGCATTTAACTTGAGGATCTGGGGGATAAAAATCAGGCTCCTTTTCCAGATGGATAGGTTCCAGGTCAAAAGGACCATCCAGGTCAACGTCAGAATTATCAGGCATCAGAACCTCAGGAGCAGCAACAGCAGTCTCATGAACGTGCACAGGCTCCTTCTCGGAGTCAATAGGGCCTGAGTCAAAAGGATCATCTTCATCTCTGTCCTCAGTCTTTGTAGCCGTGGCGGCAACTGGTGGAAGTTCGGGGGGGGGGGGCGGGGGGGGAGGAATGGACACTGGGCTCCATGATCTCATTTTTTTACTTTAACGTCTCTAAAATAGTTCTCCAAATGACTAACAATTTTTTGACAGTGTCATTGCCTTTTGTAACTGCATCCCACAGTTCTGCACCAATCTTTTCCAAAGTCTCCACATCAAACGCTGTCGCTGTCGGCAGTTCCAGGGAATACCTTCTTTCCTTGCATGACAACAATAGGTGCTTTACAAGGCTTTCATCAACCTTAATGCTTCTTGTAGAGAGGATATGCTGGAAGAGTTTAAGTACTGCTGTTTCTTCTTTGCTCATTTGATTGCCCATCTTTATCCTCTTCCACCCAGGTCGGCTGTTCACCTTAATTCCACTGCAGTGTCTTCTGGGCTCACAAGGCTCTGTTCCGAGGCGTCTGCCTCTGAGGTATCTACCTCCTGATCCTGGTCCTGCCAGATTGAATCCCAGCCGATTTCCCCGTGGCACCCCATTTCAATCTCTTCGGTTTCAATGTGAAAATATAAAGGGCCCCACGCTGGGTACCATTTGTGGCGTTGCAAGTATGGACTCCAGTTCCGGTGAAATCTGAAATAGTTTATTTTGCATCTCGCGTCCCTTTTATAGTCTACTGAGTGCTAAACAGTAACTTTCTACTCTTTTACTCCCTTATTGGCCCGATTTAACAATACTAAGGGTTATAGTCACACTGTTTGGTCTGTCTTTGAGATGCACATCCTGCTTTATCCTGCAAACCGCCTGCTTTGTTTTGCTAACTGATCTTTACCCTTCATAGTTCTCTTTACAGTTCCCAAGGCTTAGGCCAGAGCAGGGCATTGACACCTGGTGTTTTCTTTACCATTCCCAAGGCTTAACCCGGCCCAGTGCGATAACGCCTGGAACACCTGGCTACATTTTGTTAACTATTTCTATCCGTCACCCACACAGCAGAAGTGACTGTTACTTAACAAAATGTTTCATGCCTCTTAATTACCAAAGTAGTGTTCTAGAGAGCTTTTAATGCATAGTGTCATAAAGTTTGGAATGCTTTCTCAGTGGAAGGTAACAGTCCAAATTACAATATTGCCCAATAGGTCTGTAAGCTGCTGGCAGTATTCAGCTTCTCTTCTGGAATAAAGGGAATCTGAAACGGCATCTGTTATGATCCAATCTCCTCCTTGCTTTAGCAGCTGCAGAGTTAACAGTTACAAATGCGTAAATGCTGCTCAACTGAGAGAAACACAGAGTTAGAACTCACAGCCTGAGCTTCAGTCAAGCTTGAATTATGGCATTTTATGAAAAAGTGATGTAAAATACAATCTGTATCTTTCAGCAAAGCTGAATGAAAGAGAATTAGATTAATGGCTCATGAGAAGAATATGAGCAAGCTTGGATTGCTCTTATAGTATTAATATTGTAGTCATGAAAGTCTTCTCTTTTGACTTGTTTCAGGCTAAAAGACCCTTAGGCTAGCTGAGGAAACTGGTGGGGGGACAACTCATTCTTGTAGCAAAGATTTTCATCACTAGGAACCTTTTGCTGTATGACAGCAGACTGTGACACAGGAAGACTTCAGCTATTTCTATTTAATTTTTATCTACAGAGGCTGCTGGGAGTGGGAGGAATAAGGCATCTACATGTCACACTTTCTCTATTTCTGGGATAAAGGAAACACCCATCTCTTAAAAAAGACAGCAACGAGTGAATTGCTTTATAAAAGAGCAAGAGAGGAATGGAAGCTGTTAAATATTATTTGATATTCTTACAAGATATGCTTTCCTGGCTGTCTTTGCATTTAGTAAAGGAGGAATAAAACTCCTTGGAAAAGAGGCAATGCTAATGTTCAGTTATGAATCATTTTATCACTTTGCTGTGGGGCGCGTTTTAACCTAAATAACCAGGAAATGATTTTTTATATAGCCCTGCGACTTTTCCTCCTGATTCCTTTTCAGAGTTTGCAAAGTTATTTAATTATAAATAGATAAATAAATAAAATAAATAAAAAATAAACCTTTTCCTAAAATAAAATCTCTAGTAAAATGACAAACAACTCACAAAGAATGTGGTAGGTTTCAATTTTGGTTTGGGTTTGCTTGTGTTTTGGTTGTTTGGGTTTTTTGGTTGGTTTTGTTGTTGGGTTAGTTTTTTGAGTTCTGAGTTCAGGAGGGATTTTTTTGTGTATTTTGGGGCCGGTGTAGGGAGGAGTGTGTGTTTTTTCCAGAAAAGTTACTGATGTCCAAACTACATACAAAATTCAGTGAAAGTCTGACATTGGGGTATTTCCACTTTTATAAGTATTCTTCTTTGCAAAAGCAAATTTCCACCATTCCAGAGACAATTTTGTATACAGAAGTTTGATTACTTCTTTTTCCATATGAAGTGTTTGTCAGAAAAGCAGGCTTTTTTCATGGTCCCATGG